ATGCTGTCCATGTAGAGCCTTATGCGGGGCTTGATGCCAGGAACAATCAGAGCCAAAATCAAGAGTTGGATGCTTAACCAACTGAGCCGCCCAGGCTCAGGAATTAATTGAAAAATACCTCATCTAGCTCATTATGAGATGTGTTTTCAATGAAATTTTTACCTTTTTGTTTAACAAGTGCCAACATTTTGAAAATAGGTACGCAATTTGTATTGACTGGTTTCTATTCATTATCACAGAGATAACCACTCAGTGTAGAAAAAATTAATCACTGCCATGTTACGGTGAAAGGAAATAATTAAATTTTAATTTATATACATATTTTATACAAAGAAATCTGATTAATAAAGAAAAAATCTTCAAGTGTAAAGGCATTCATTAATTAGGATGGGATTCTGTGGGGTTGTGGAACAGAAAGGAGTTCAAGAAAGATGAGATACATGCTGTAAAATGCTGTCTGTTGTAAGGAGAATTTGCTCACTCCTTTTTACATGGAAGCTTCCAGGCATCCAAATACTGTCACGTTCAGATTCCTCTGATCACATTGAAAAGTGATGCAATGCTTTTTATAAAGTATTGATATTTACAATGCAGTAGAAATCACATCTGTTGCAACCCATCGAACTCAGGATGGAGATTATCAGGTGTCAATGAAAAGTGCTACGTGGTGGTTCAAAATTAATGGGGATGTAGATGACAAAAATTATTGACAAGCACATATCAGTTTGCACTACCAATTCAAGAACACTTTGCCAGTATCTTCCCTATTTTTCCCTTTATTCCCAGTACTTAGAACATAGGGAATTAGATCAAAGTAGTTGGAGATGAAAGACTAGCATCGGTTATTGGCTATGAATGGCGTGTAGAAATCGTAGGAGGTGAAGAAGAATCCTTTCTGTGAGACATTGTCTCTGGTCCATATCAATGAGGTAGAAGTGATCCTTGGGAAATCTCCCTTTGTCACAACTACCAAGAGAACATGATTTAGGGTACAAGATCTTTCACTTGCGTTCAAGAAAATCACTCAAAACTGAATCCGTTACAAGATTTGGAGGATCCTTATATTTAGTGTTTGACATTTTCCTTGGTGACTCTGTAGATGAAAAACTCAATGAAACTGGTACTGAACAGAACATGATGGTGTTCACCTTGAGGAACTAGCACCCTTAAGTAAGCCTTTTCTTCTTTATACCTTAGCTAGAGAAATTTCCAGAAGCTGTCATTGAGACAGAAGGGCATTTGAACTACGGGATTATGAAATTTAGGTGGAGGGCAGTGAAGGGGTTAGTATTCCTTAGGGACTATGGCTATTCATTTGGAAGAGAATTTAATCAAGAATTTATATTAGGCTTCTACTGAAAACAAATGAAGTGTGATTTTCACATTTGCAAAAATCCTGCAATGATAACTTTTTAGCTCAAAAAGGTTGTTCACGCCTTAAGAGAAGAACAGACTTGCCAGCGAATTAATTAACTCAAAAATCATGAGTTTCACATTTAGGGCCAACAGAAGACAGCAGAAACGATATTGACAATGACGTATCACTTTTACAATTCCTAATTAGTCACAGGTCAGCTGTCCAAAGAACCTTTGCATCTTACATTTAAATTCGGAATTTCAGAGAATGGTAGAAGGGATTCTGCTTATCAGAACCCACACGCTTATTTTACAGAAAAGGGAAAGGCTGTTCCAAGTTGGTAGTAGAACTTGGACCTGAACTTGGGATTCAGGCTCTTAACCCAGTCCTTCTTGTGCTGCCCCTAGATTCCAGGCCAGAGTCCCCGGACCACTGGCTTCATGAATCAGGGGCTAAGGGAGGGGCACAGAAGGATCTAGAGGGCCCCATACATAATAGCCAGAGCCACTCCAAGCTTTTCTTCCATGTTTTGGGCTTCTGTCTAGAATCGATAAAGAAAAAAAAGAAGTCTCCTGCACCATTATCTTATTCAGAAATTGTCACAACATGTTACAGCTCCCTGGGTTAACAGTAGGAGCCGACCAGAGGAGACTCGAAGCCAGGGCAGGGCGAGGGAGGTGGGGATGTCTGATTCTACGTGAAGATTCTCAGACTGACGGGGTTGACTGCAGACAGACATGAAAACCACACGGAGCCAGCTTGGAGCCTCCCAGGAATGTTCCTTCCTATCTCCAAATCGAGTGTTTCAGGAAGTTGTTGGCACAGGTCTGAGTGCTTGCACGTGCTGAGCTCTCCTTGGCCATTCCCAGGGGTGGGTGCCTTCCCCCTGCGCCTTTATGCACATGTCCCTCCCATGCCTGGGTGACTGTCCTCCTGACAGCCAGGCCGCCCTTACCTGCTCCTGCCCCATGGATCCCTCCCTGGACCCCAGGGGTGGCGCATGCGTGGGCCCTCACTGACCACCTGTCCGGCGGGTTCAAGGATGCAGTGACCCCTCCCTGGGAAGGCGGTCCATTAGAAAGGACTCCCCCCGGGCAAGAGGGGAGCTCCGGTAATTGCAGCCTTTACTGTATATTGTTAAAAGGGTTTCACACATCCACGTGGAATATAGACTTCTCACACCTTGTCGACTTAGGTTTGCAGTTGGCTTAATTTAGAGCAGTGACTTTCAACTTCTTTTTTTCTTTTTTTGCTTCCAACATCTGTGGGATATAAAGCAAGCCCAGGCAGCATTCTGGATCTCGTAACTGGAGAGAATGGGGATGGGGCGGGCTTGGCATCCCTCCCCCCTCCCTTCCCCGTCCGCCAGGGACGTATTCCTAGTGTCCAGGACGTGCGTGTGCCCGGAGGACCCCTCCCCCCCCCCTCCCCGCCAGCCACGGGTGGTCCCAAAGCCTCCGCCAGGCGCCGGTTGAGGGTTCTGCTTCAGGGAGCAGGCCATGGGGGTTACTTCACGCTCGGGTGACCCCTGGGGTGGGAAGAGGGGCGCCGGGGCTGGACCGAGCACCGGTTTGTGACCTGCTGTGTGCGGACGCCGCCCTCGACCAGCCGGCCCTCTTCCACCTGTGCAGACATACCTAGAGGTGGCATTAGCAGATGACACTGTGGGTCTTCGTGTATGTGTCTGCCCCTCGTACACCAGGAGTCCCCAGGCTTCCCAGACTCTTGGACCGGAAATCTGCGTCCCAGGTCCATTGCACTGGGTTTGGGCATCACATTCAGCCCTCGCCACAGTCCTGCGGTGGCCCGGGAGCCGGCCTCCCAGACGAAACCGAGGCAGAGGGGTCCAGCCCCCTGCCCTGGTAGCCATTCGGCTGCTCCGCCCGGATCTGAACGCAGGGCTCTGTGACCCGAACCCAGCTTGCTCCTTCACCGCGTCCCACACCACATGGGAGAAAAAGTGTGAACTTAATTGACCTGCTTGTTCAGCGATGGTCACAAAAGGGGAGGCAGGAAACGGGTCTGGCCTGGCCATCTGGGCTGCCGCTGACGGCTGTGCAGTGGAGCCCCTCTGAGTGGGGTCCCCCCACCCCCGGAATGCTATCTCAGGGCAGAGCCACCGGCTGTGCAGACAGAGCGGCCGGCAGCCGCCTGAGGTATGACAGCTCGTCAGCAAACCAGCGGCAGGAACAGTCCTGTTGCATTAATCTGGACGCAGCGTTTCTTCTCCGTATGGGCCCCTCTCATTAAGAGCCGTGCAACAAAAGCCAGGAAAAAACAGAGAAGGCGGGTATTGTTAAAAGCGTTTGCTGTGTTCAGGACACATCGCCTTGGGCATTTGTGCCTCTAAACAATTCCTCCTTTGTGTCCCGGTCTTTCCCTTCGAGCTCTGTTGTCAAATGTCTATCTTTTTTTTTTTTTTTTTTTTTCTCCTCTTGTTTATTTCATTGTCCAGGATCTTAAATAAGCCAGCCCCTCAAGGAATGTTCTCCTTGGCGCTCTTTTGGGTTCATTCATTCTACGTTGCTAAGTCTGCTGTCTGATTAAAACCCTGTCACTGTGAGGCCAGCCATCGCTGAACTCTGGGTGCGTGATCATGTGCAGTGAGCTCTGGGCGCACCTACGGCCTCGATTCATTGTTTTAAAACAAGATACCCTGAAACGACAACACAGTACAGTCCTCGCTTCCTGGACCACCATGGACAGTGCTGAGGTCGTGTGTCTTGAGGTCTAAAATAGTCTGGTGTGTAGCTGGCCCAGAGTCGTGTCCTCCTGCCCTTCTGCAGGCATGGAACATTCAGGGACCTTTGGGAACCTGGGGGCTCGCTGTACTCACATACTGAATGTATCTCTGAAGAGCTTGCTTCGTAGATGTGCCAAATGGCTGCAATGCTCCCCATCGTTAGTATTTAAGTTTAACCCCGGCTCTGATCATTGCAGACCTCTGCATCTCATTCTTTCTGCAGTAGTAGATCTCACTTAGTGCTCACAGGGACAGGAGTACCTCAACCAAAGACACTTCTGTTCTGGTCCTTTCTGATTTTTCTTGGAGGTATTCTTCCAGGATCACCTCTTCCTTGGACCAGAGCTTCTTGCGCATGTAAAAAACGAAGGGTGAAGAAAATAAATAAGATCAAAATGAAGGGGATGCCAGATGTTAACAGAGCATGCCGTTTCATGCTTTAGGGGAGATTTCGAATGTTTCTATGAAAGATTTGTCAGAAGTTCCCAAACGGTATTATTTACTTCTAATTCTGTTTATATTTGGGAACGATTATTTTTCAAACGAACTCTTTTTAAGACTTCAGTCAAAGCAAATGTCAGGCTGGAAAGCATGGCATACACTGCGTCATTTGTCTGAATTTTTAAATGTGTCTTCCCAGAGACACACACACGGATAAAAAGCCAAAAGACTGGTCCGGAACATGCTGACGTTTGACAGCACATATACGCATACGGCACCCTCTGAGTTATGAGATGCTTCTGGAGGAAGCTGTTGGGTTTGATCGGTATTCCCAGCACCCTTTCTGTATCCCCAGCACCCTGAATTCCACCGTCCAGGGGAGGCAGGCAGGTGGGCGTTACGCTCGCTCGGCGCTGTGCGAACACGCTGGCTGACCTGTCCTTGCCATGTTTTGTGCAGTGAGCCTGCCCCTGGGGCCCGGCAGTCCCTGCGGCTCGGACAGGGCCCCACCCATGCCGTCCGAGGCCGAGGAGACTGTGTCTGTCGGCAGCTGTTTCGCCTCCGAAGACACAACCGAAGACTCAGGAGTGGTGAGCTCCCCGTCGGACATCGTCTCCCTGGATTCCCAGCAGGACAGCGTGAAATCCAAAGATAAGTGGGCCACGGACCAGGAAGATGGCAGTGACCAGGACCTGGCTGGCACCCCGGAGCTGGGCCCCCAGAAGAGCCCCCTGTGGGAGAGGAACAGCTCTGGGAGGTGGCATTCGAGGTGAGTCACAGGACAGCTGGAGAGGGAGGGCCCGACCTGGACTCAAGGAGGAAGGTCTTCGGGTCCTGGTGACCCAACAAGTGCGTGCCAGGTGCTCTCCGAAGCTGCCACTCCCCGGTTCCGGGGTTCGTTATGCACAACCATGTCTTCACGCTCTTTCTAGACATGCAGGGGTTATAAGGGCTGTAAAACCTTGGCTTGCGAGTAACTTGTCCCGTGAGTGTTCTGAAAGACGAGCGAGTATTTCTAGTAAACTTACATTTGATAAATGAGCAAAGACCTGCCATAGGAGGCATACGTGACGCCGAACGTCACGTGATGACGCTGAGCCAATGGTTCTTGAAATGTGCTTTGATATACGAGCACTTTGGATGACAAGCGTGTTTCCAGAACGAATTGTGCTCGCAAACCAAGGTCCTACTGTGATACCTAAGAGTGCCTAGTTTGTTCTTCCTTTTATATAAATAGGACCATAATCTCAGTGCCCTTTTTTCACTCAAGATCATGTTTTCAAGATTGATCCATGACAATACAGGTCTCATTAGTTCATTTCTTTTTATTTTTTTTAATTAAAACTTTTTTTTTTAATTTCAGAGAGGGAAAGAGAGCTCACAAGTGAGGTGAGGGGGGCATGGAGCCGGACGCCGGGGCTCGATCCCATGACCCTAGGATCATGACCTGAACTGAACTCAAGGGTCAGGCCTCAACCGGCTGAGCCCCCCAGGGGCTCCGTATTTTTCTTTTGAACTTTTAACAAATGGGCACTGAGGTCACACCACTGGAAACAGTGAGGAAGCTGTACATATGTCCCTGCTCACAAGTAGAGACTTTTCTAGAAAAGAAAATATTAGACATTCAGAAAAAGTCATCTTCCACTATGGACGCTTGGCCAGCTGCTCTCCACCATGATTGCCTGGCTTCCCCACCCTCCAGGGGCCTCTCATGGCCAGCCAGTCCTCACCTGCACCAGCGCCTGTCATCAGCACACCTCGTACACTCAGCTGTCATACAGGTTCAAATAGCATTTCATGTGCTTTTTAATTTACAATTTTTCTGATCGGTAAGAATGAGCATCTTACCATGTGTACATTAGCGTAAGAATGGTCTTTTCATAGACTGCTCATAAAAAAAAAAAAAAAAAAAAACCTGGGATGTTACTTTAAAAAAAAAAAAAAATCCAGGGCGTCTAGGTGGCTCGGTCCGTTAAGTCAGTCTGACTCTTGGTTTCAGCTCAGGCCGTGACCTCACGACTCGTGGGTTCGAGCCCCACCTTGGGCTCTGCGCTGACACGTGGAGCCTGCTTGGGGTTCATTCTCTCTCCCTCTCTCTCTGCCCCTCCCCGGTCACTCTCTCTCTCTTTCTCTCAAAATAGATAAACATTTAGAAAATACATAAATAATAAAAAAATTAAAAATTCATCAAATTCTTCTTAATCTGTAAATCAACTCTTGACTGTCCACAGAAAGTCTTCGACTGTGGCTTGAATGTAACTTTGTTTTCTTTCATTGCATAAAAATTGCTTATTAATTTTGATATTGTCAAATTTGCCCCCTTTCCTCAAATGCGGGAATTCTTTTGCATCTTTGAGAGCCCTTTCTCATACCCTGAAGGACCGAAGACTGTCTGAATTTCTTGTAAAAGTTTAGTGTTGCTTTCTCTTATCTGGGCTTCGCAACAACCTGGGTTTATTTTCGGGTGTGATGTAGAGAAGGAAATCTATTTTCTCCCAGTGCCTCTGAGCTCTACCCTGGCTTCCTGGATGCCCCCTCCCCCCACCCCCACATCCCTTTCCCTCACTGGGTTCTTTGCCATGTCATTCTCCCCAGGACCCACTGTTTGTTTTCTCCATTCTTATACAGAAAGGCAGGTTAAGTCTCTGTGGTCCGTCAGTTTTGTTCACCCTTAGGTAATTTTTTTTTAATGTTTTATTTATTTCTAGGAGAGAGAGAAAGAGAGACAGCAGGAGCAGGAGAGGGTCAGAGAGAGAGGGAGTCACAGACTCTGAAACAGGCTCCAGGCTCTGAGCTGGCAGTCAGCACAGAGCCCAACGTGGGGCTCGAACCCACGAACCGCGAGATCATGATCTAAGCGAGAGTCGGACGCTTAACCGACTAAGCCACACAGGCGCCCCCACCCTTAGGTAATTTTAAGAACCAATCCACGCAAACGATGTTTTGGAAATACTAACAAAAATAAACTAGAATAAGAACATGAGTCCGTAAGCCAGTCACCAAAATAAACCAAGGCCTTTGTATCTGCCCCGTGTTGTTCCAACTGAACACACACAATCTTTATAATTGTCAGTAATAATTCATTTGGATTTATTGTTGCCCAAGGATTTATCATGAGCATTGTCCCATCTGTTAATTACAGTCTCTAGTAATTTTAATGTGTAACTTGTCACTCTTAAGGGTGATTCCGAGGCCAAGTTTGTATTTCACTCGCTGCCGGAACATTAGAAGGTGGTCCTTACTCTAATCTCCCCTCCCCCTCCCCCCACCTGGTCTGTTTGCATCTCTGAGAGCAGAGAACAATTGTGGTTATTTCCTTCTTAGTCCATTTGACATTTTTAAAAAATCACTTTCTATAGCAGTCCCCAGGTGGACTCTGCGCGAGGCGATCGCCTCTCCTAAGCTCTCCATCCAAGCTAATCAGACATTTTTCATTCTGGCCCCAGGAATACTCTTGCAAATCCTCATTTGCTTTGCTGGCATTGACCCCTGATGCCAAGCACTGCTGCTCTCTGCCCAAATGGGAGAGTTAACATTGCCCGTGGCCACGGCTGTGGCCGGAGATAATCATGGTGTCTTTGGAACTTGGGGCTTTCTCCCAGCAGGGAGTATGGGATGTTTTTCTGCCCTTATCTCTGGGGTGCCATGGAAGGGAGGAGGGAGGGGGCTCTGATGGACCCACAGGGGGTCCCCCAGCCCTAATGAGTTGCCCGGCCTTCGAGAGTCCACGTGACTTTGCAGAGAGAATGCCCCCACCACTCAGAGGTGTCCTGAGCCTACAAGTGTCCAGTGTGCCTGGCACAGTATATGGTCCCTCACTCTCGAGTGGTTGCATTGTCAAAATCACCATGGTTAGTTTGGAAACGAGGCGCCATGAATTGTCGTGGCAGGTCACTTTTCTTTGGGCTCCCATCAGCCCGGCAGTCTCAAGAGATGCAGATAGCCTCTGAGCCCCTCAGCTCTGTCTGTACTGTTCCATTGTCTGCTGCAGACTTGGGATCTCCTCTCGGACCCAGGACTGCTCATGGAATGACTGTAGTCAGTGCGTCACTGCAATTCAGAGGAAATATCTATTTGGTCATTCAGATGACCAGAACCAGAACCTATTTCACGTAGATATGTGGTCCACATCCACCATCAGCCAGTGACTTAATCAGTCCTGACTATGCAGTGCAGCCCCCATAAAATGTCAAAAGGATAGTGTTGGGGGGCTTCCGGGTTTGGTGAACGGGAGCAGGTTGGAGACAGCGGTACCTGGAGAGGCGTGGAATTTCTGTGCTCCCACGTCGTATCTATCGTTATGCTTCTCTTCCTCTCCTCTGGCTACTGATTCACATTCTTTATCATATCCTTTATTAAACGGGCCAACCTAAGTGTTTCTCTAAGTTTTGTGACTCATCCTGGCAAATTAACTGAACCTACAAAGGAGGGCATTAGAGCCCCCAGTCTGGAGCCGCGGGTCTGAAGCTCGGGGCTGATGTCCCTCAAGGGTGGGGGCAGGGAGTAGCTGGTCGGACTGAGCCCCTCTGCCTGTGGGGTCGGAGGGTGTCCGTGAGTCTGTAATGTCAGAAGTGCGTTGAATCCTCGGACACCTGGCAGGTGTTGGAGAGCTGTCTGTCGCTGTACTGAGGCAAAGCCACCCTAACATGGGTCCTGGGTCTGGGAACGCCTTAAAAAGGTGATTTTAAGGGCTCATGCGCAGCTCAGTCAGCTAAGCATCCAACTTCGGCTCAGGTCATGATCTCACTGTTCGCGGGTTTGAACCCCACATCGGGCTCTGTGCTGACAGCTCAGAGCCTGGAGCCTGTTTCAGATTCTGTGTCTTCCTCTCTCTCTGCCCCTCCCCTGCTCACGCTCTCTCTCTCTCTCTCTCTCAGAAATAAATAAAACATTAAAAATAAGTAAGTAAGTAAATAAATAAGTAAATAAACAAATAAGGTTGTTTTACGGAAGTTCTCCCATCTGACAGATGAGACCAACTCCGAGGAGGTAGTGTGGTGCATCCTGTATTTCTTTCCAAGTGTGTGATTTTCCTCAAAGTTCAGGGTTATGCGAAGCAAGAACCTATGGGTATAAAGCTGGGGTTGCAAATCCAAGGCCGACAGGGGCCAGGAAAATAATGAGGGTGGAGGTGGCTTCAGGGAACAGCCCCAAATGCTCAGTTTTCTCTCAAGAAAGCAGCATTGAGACCCTTCCAAACTTACCTGGAGGGATCGCAGACCCAGGGTGGCTGGCCTCTGAAGAGAATCCAGGAATCAAGATTTTTAAAAAATTTTTTTCATGTTAATTATTTATTTTTGAGAGACAGAGAAACAGAGCACAAGCAGGGGAGGGGTGGACAGAGAGAGAAAGAATCCCAAGCAGGCTCCACACTATCAGCACACAGCCTGACACGCGGCTGGAACCCTTGCACCTTGAGATCGTGACCTGAGCCGAGACCAAGAGTCAGTCACGCGCTTAACCGACTGAGCCACCCAGGCACCCCCAGAACTCTTGATTTTTATGTTAGGTCTCCAAAATTGTAAACGTTGGCAACCCAGTCAGACACGCAGGGCCAAAAGACACACACACGTGGGTGCCGGCTGGGCCGGTTCCCCGACGTGCACTGGCCTTAACGGGAACACTGGCCCTTCCTCCTGTGCTCGCTGATTTTCGGGCTTTGGAACATCCGTGTAGTCCCTTGGGTGTTGCTCTGGGAAATACCTCCTCGCAGATAAGTGCAGGGGAGCCCTTCTAGCCTCCCCTTCGTGAAACGCGAAAGTCTTACAA